ATCCAACTTCGCTGTCTGTTAACGATAGACGACGGGACGCCGTCTGTTGATCGTCAGATGCAGTCTCAACGGATCATCATTAAAAACGATCTGTTACGCGCGCGTCGTTACGCTGTATTCTCCGTAAGGTCGCGTTGGCCGACGAAACATTTCGTTGGATATCGACAAGTCGGCTTAAAAACACGCGCACAGTCGAATCAACTTTGAACAGTCACACATCCACGGCTTTTACTATCTTGCAAACTGTAGGCCTATGAACGGTAATTATGTGTCGTGTTAATTTTACCGGTTAGTAATTGTGAATCGTCAGAATGGTTTCAGAGTGGAGATTTAGAGTTTTAGGAATCGGATCGAAATGTTTTCGAGGAGTCAAGAGAGGTCACAGGAACAAATCATGTTGTATCTAACGGAGTATGTTCACTGTGTTGGGCGGAAAATCGCGTTTATGTCTAGTCTATGATATTGATTGGAAAGCACCCAACCTAATACAATAAATATTCCAAACGTTGTAAACAGCGAGCTATTCCCCTAATGAAGGCAATATATAGTAATTATATACGCAGACCTCTGTGAAATTTCCTATCCTGCAACTTCAATAATTAATATCGGTGTCATGCATAGCATGCCGTCGCTGGTTAAAGCTAAGAAGAGGCGTACTATAGGTATAGGGTTATAAGTAATATACACCGACTTATTGTCCTGTGAAATTTGCGCATATACGCAACTCTCAACGCCTGAATAATGCCAAGCTCTTGAGTTTAACTAATAAAAATTTAACAAGAAAATTTAAAATTTTAATGGCTTACAAGGGAGGCGCAGAGTTTCCATTAAAAATACTTAGTACGAATTTTATGACCTCAGTTAACGACGAACGAACATTGCAATTAGGGTTAACAATCAACAGTGCGGTGCTATCCGCCAAATGCACAATGTTAATTTTTCTATTTCTATAGCCATGGAATTATTTCAATTAATAGAAACATAGAAATACAATATTTTTTTACACAAACATTTAAATGTACTGGCAGAAATTTAGTAATGTTGCAGCATAACGCCTGTAAATGATTGTAAACTGTTTTTATTTGTTGACTGGTACCGTAATCGATTTCAAGCTCAGTCCGGTCACACTATCAAATTTTCTTTCACAAAAAAAAACAACTGCTGTATGCCCATATATAATCATGATTTGCCTATATATGGTCATGCTGTGATGTCATCATGACCATATTTAGGCATGTCACACGTTTTTGTCAAATAAATTTGATAGTCTAGACAGGGCTTAATAGCAGGACACCAAGACTCGTGCCGATATACGTTTTTTAAAATTTGTCGTTATCAAATTATAATGTTAAAATAGAAAAGAAATAGGCCCTCTCCAATCCCGATGCTTAAAATGCTGACATGCATTTGTTAGAGGAATAGCCAAACCTGGAGTTAATTGCCATGTTTTTGCCAAATAACGTTTGATAGTCTGGACAGGGGTTAATATAAGGAATCGTGTAATGTAAACCATTTGTTTGTAAACCATTGTTTCGATCTGTATTTCACTGAACTTGTTTTATCTTTGTAAATAAGCAATTAAATGAAATTTTAGTTTTGGGGATTTAAATGAGACAGAAATCAGAAAGAATGATTAATAATACACACATTTTTAAGGCGGGAATACAGTGGCCCTTTAATCAAACTTTTTATTATAGAATTATACAAGGCAAAATCCACTTAAGTATAGGCTAGAAAAAGAGAAAAAAATGTCAAGAAACACAGGATGACAAAATAATTCAGATCCCAATCAATCCCTTTAGCCATTTCAGATTGGACAATGTGTTGGTTTACATTACACTTAAAATAAGTGAGGTTAAATTCATCTGAAACAGTCCTCGAGAAAGGAATTCCACAAAGCAAAAAGAGCTCCTTTCAAAACTTAACAACTGATCATTCGGTCCAAATTAGTGTAAACTAAATTCAGTAGTTTCAATTTGAGTTAAAATGAGTTTTGGTCACTGTTTCATTGGAAGTTAAATAAGCAACTCCAGGTTTGGCTATTCCTCTAACAAATGTCAGCATTTTAAGCATCGGGATTGGAGAGGGCCTATTTCTTTTCTATTCTAACATTATAATTTGATAACGACAAATTTTAAAAAACGTATATCAGCACGAGTCTTGGTGTCCTGCTATTAAGCCCTGTCTAGACTATCAAATTTCATTTGACAAAAACGTGTGACATGCCTAAATATGGTCATGATGACATCACATCATGACCATATATAGGCACTTCATGACTATATATGCGCATATAACAGTTTTTGTCAAAGAAAAAAATGATAGCCTAGTCTGGACAGAACTTTATGCTAAGTTCATGTGCCATAACGACAAGACTACAATTAAGTGAGATTTTTCTCCTCAATCCACTTCAATTCATGTTTAATGGCAAACATAGAGATTGAGCTTGGGGTTCGAGACATCGCAGAGGAAAATGAACCAATGGAACGCAAAATAAACTAAAATCGAATAAGCTCTCTCCCCCAGGCATTCTAATAGTTATTGGCTGATCTACTCGTTGTCGGTGCAAAAAGGAAATTAAAGAATAATATATGACTTACCATTGCATTTAGCCTATTTTTACTTTATATTTTAAAATATGATTTAATGAACCTAGGCCTATTCCCAGTAATATACAAACGTTGCTTGCGAGCTATATAAAATGACAATGAGCCTTTCCACTAAGCCTCGCCCCTTCGATATTGTTGCTTTCATGAAACCATAGCGTAAATGGGTGCGTCAAACGCGTATGCCTAGCACTAGCCCTGTTTTGATTGGTCAGTCGTTAGTTTGATTACCACTGAAAGGTCCATTCCACTCGCGTTATGCCTTTTTTTTTTTTGGCCAATTTACGCATACCCTGTATGCTAACCGAGCTTTGCGTCATGAGATAGGGACGTCTCCCCACTAATGACCCGCTTACTGTCTTAGCATCATGGGGTAGGAATGTTAGGTCTACTCCATAAGGTCATTTATAGATTTTTGGGGTGGTTTTTTTTTTTTATAAGTTTGGGCCTACACTCATGACTAAATATTATCCAAATGAAGTAGCCTAATTAATAATTTTGACGTCTTTGTTGCGGATGTCTACTTTCTAATCTCTTCCGGCAAACTGTAACTGTCATTTACTCAATTTGTCACCATCAATCTCAGTAACATTATGGAACAGAATTAATAACATGTTTTCACGTTGATTACAAAGACATCAAACAAACGGGATATTGATGTATTTATTATGCAATCGACTCGAGGCCTACATTAACACTCGTCAGCCTAGGTCCATTAAACGAGCAGGGCATTGTTCTAAATTTAAAGGTTATTTGTAAGGCAACCGTCATCATAATAATAATGATAATTATTATTATGATTTATCCAATGCATAGATGTTTCATATTCCATTGCTATACGATAATGCTACTGCAAGTACTTCGTATTCGAACTGTAAATTTTCATACGGATACGATTACGTATAGAGACGCCTGACAGATCAAATACAACTCACACAAAAGCTAATACTCTTTCGAATGATTTTCTACATTAAATGTTCAATGTCTTGAATAAATTAAGGTTTTGCTTTAAGCGATAGTTGACTATGATAAATGTGATTCTGTTTAACAAATTTATTCTTAAATTGAACCGTGAATTTAGTTGCTAATTATAACTGAGTTGACCACGTACGATATAATATTGAAGGAACGTATATCATAAACGGGAGACATGGGCCCTTGAAATTCTAACCAGAATCGAGGAGACAGCGTTCCACGGGTATAAATTGAATTCCATAATAAGCAATTTATTACAAACACGTTGATCTTGGTTAAGCCTACATTTCATTAGGCCTACAGGGCTGTGTTACATTTATTAACAGGGGGAGATTTCATTTAATTACATGGGAGGTTTACATTTAGTTAACAGGGGCAGAATCAAGGGAAGCCAGTTAGTCCGAACCCGCCCTAAATCTTTGAAAATATTTTAAAAATGGTTAAAAAGGAAACATTGCATTAAAATTTAAATCTGAGAGTGACGTTTTTTTGGCCATTGGTAACATAGCCATAACATTTTGTCCTTCTGGGTGCTATCTGTGAAGTCGCTCTCTGGGTCTCTCCACATCTAATTCCTTGAACGACCACTTAATTATTCTGTACAGGGTTTTAGAACGATAGGAAAATATGACCAGTCAGGTCATTCTCCATCATGTGACCACAAGCCTAGAAAATATTCAATATCATGAAGATTGTTGTAATAAGTAGGCCTGTTGCTTCTATTAATAATGCCTCTTCATAAGTACTAAAATAATTACTTTATATACAGTAATTACTTTTATATAATTTATTTTTGTTGAATTATAGCCTATAATTTGTTTTATTTTTATAATTCCTCTTATTCATATTATTATAGGCCTTGTTAATATCTTTATATTTCATATAATAATAACAGTAATATTATTAGCAATAATATGGTATTTTCATAAAAATGTTGATATTGATTTGCCTCATGTTTGATTTGTATACCTTGCAAATGTAGTGTATAGTTCAGGCATGGGCCTACGTACCCTATTTCGCATTTCAACATGGGTATGACAGCCTTATGCGTAATGCGAGACTTACGCAACATATTAGCACTGTTTTATATAAACACAGTTAATATGATTATCAATGATATATACATGATTATATAATATATCAATATATATATATATATATTTATATATATATATATAGCATATTATGACTATATAAAAATTGATGACAAGTCATAAGCCTATATACATATATCTACTATCATATTATACTTATAGGCAATAGGTTATAGGCAATAATACTATATAAGTATATATACATATATATATTCCCTAATTATGTATATATTATATATATATTATATATATACATATAATGATGATGATAAAAACATTATCATTTACAATCGAAACCACAAAGCCTAAATTTTAGTATACGTACCTTCACTGTAAGTACGAACCAAGAAATGGTTTATAAAACAACAGGCGTTAAATAAATATCAATAAAAGAACATAGAGCAATTGAGTAAGTAACTGCCAATTGAAATCCTATTGAAGATACTCTTCCATGCATACCTTGTTCTCCAATACGTAACACAGCCGCGTATGAATCAAATGTTTCATTCGAATAAACAAAATATTCTTTCATGAACTCAGGTAATTAGAGGGCGCCAATACTTTCTTCTTCATCAGAAGTCAAAAAGCAAAACCAGGAACAGAGGTTACAATGCTAATCATAATGATTGTTTAACATTTTAGTAGAGTGCTTATTAAAATGCCAAGTTTAATTATAGCCGTAAAGGGCAAATGTTCAGTTATTGAGTAGAAAGGATGGTTGGTATATATATATAGTCTATAGAAAAACAATTCACACAATAAATAATTATCTTTGCCTGTATTATTATCTACCTAGCCTAATTAGGTTATGTAATTAGGCTAAAGCTTGACATGGGCAGCAGTAAAATACGAAACAAGTCAAAATTTGTATCTTTTTCTCTTTATAAACATAAACCAAACGAATTGATCTAGATTGTACTAGGTCCTTGGGCCTATCATTTTGATGGACTACGTATATTCACCACATCAGCCTATCCAAATTGCAGAAGTAATAAACCCTGGAACATATATCAGACTTTTACAATTTAACTGTATTATAGCTCTGACTAAACATAGATCCTTTAAATCTGGCTATTATTCATCAAAAGACACATTAATTGGGCAAATTGTGCTGTTTTTAATCAAACGTGATAGTACTAAGCAATAATTGGTAAGCCTCTAATAAATTTGTTGAAACTTTGATTAAAACCAAGAGACAAATAGCTGGACAAGAAACGGTTCCGAAGGCTCAGCACCGCATGAATTCCGAGCACGCAATCTTGAAAGACATAAAAAATTGTCTTCAATTCACTAAACTCATACGATTACTGTACGGCCAAAAATGTCATTATTTTAGTTCCTTCCGCCGCCTCCTTGTTTTTTTCATATTGGACCGCCTCCTCCTCTTTTTATATTGGCTCACCCTCTCTTTTTTTAGTTCCCGTCTTTTCTATTTCGTATACATTGAAACGCCCCCACCCCCTTCACTTCTTCTTTGTTTTGGACTGCCTCCATCTTCTTTGAAATTGGAATCACTCTCTTTTTTTTCTAAAACCCCGAACTAGAAACATTTTTGTTTTTCTATTTGCTCCAGTCTGTCAATGTTAACGCGTTCATTAAACTGTTCCATGAAAAAATATATACTCATACATTTATGTATCTGCTTTTCTCTTATTTGTTTTGTGTCGTGTTTAATCAAATCCCCGATTGTAGTTATTTTCCCTTATTGCTGAAATCAATTACAGTATCAATAAACGTATATATTACTTGACTGAGAACGTTTTATTCTCTGCATGCCAATCATCGAATAAAATGCTATTAAAACATGAATTTCGATCCTAGATTGGTGATAGTTTTCTAACACAGTCATGCAAACTGTTGTCGATTTGTTCTGATTATGTATCCGTTCACAGAATAATTATCTTCGTACAATTCACCAGATGATAAAGTGGTCGCAGAAGCACATACTTAAGTTAAAGAATCATGTAAATTAACTACTGTAAACGCTGACTACTACCTCAGTTGTTTATAGATTGGCTATTAATGTATACAATACAGATTACAATTGATATCATGGAAAGTAAACATTATAATAGCCCATCACATTATGTACTGTGTGCTGTGTGTTTGTATGATTGAATATAATATCGTACATAATATACATGTCACAAGACATAGCCTCGTAGAGTATCTTGTTTGAAAGGATGGCCACTTCAAGTAAAGTGTTTA